TACAAGTCCTTCTTAGCTCAGCTTTGGCTCAGTCTGAAAGTGATTTAAAGTATCACGTGTGTTTTGGATTTACAAAGTTAACATAGACTACTTAAATGAGAATATATATAAAGGTCTTTAGCCTTCAGGTTGTCTTCAGCATAGCCAGACAAAAAGCGTTTTGGAAATTCTTCTGCTTTTGATAACAGTTGTAGCTGAGATGGCCAAGCTATAATTTCTGTACCAAGTAATGAACGAATACAGTAAGTTCTGGGCTGAACTGAACCTTCAAGCATCCATCAAGTGCCAGCCCTGAAAGGTTGCTGCTGACATGACAAGTACAGCCTGCTCCTTTCATTTTCAGCTTCTGCATCAGCACTTGTGCACAACTCCCATACAGAAAAAGCACAAACCATGCCAGACTTCTTCAGTAAACACAACCCACTTCTGCAAAAGAGATTAAGCAACTCTTGACAGGCAAGTGGACATGGTAAACAGGAGAGAGCATTTAACGACAAGTCAGAACACATGCACCAACATTAGCATGACTCCTCAGTTGCTAATAAAAGACATAACAACCCACTGCAAAACTAAGCATGTAAATTCACCAGGTATGTGTAGCATTTTTTTCAGAGAAATCGCAATCACCTATAGAACCGAGAGCTGTGTTAACAGGTTGGATATCCCTGCTTTGTTTAACACACATGCTTGGTTGATTGAAAACCCAGAAAGCAACTGGAACAGTCCAAAAATCATGACGGCTTTTATTTTTAAACTGGGATAATCTTGTGATCAGGTGTCCTCTTGATGTTAGCAGCAATTTCAGCAGCAGTGCTGTGGCCCAGACTGACTGATTTGCCTGGAGCCAGTGAGTCTCCAGTGAAATGGTTCTGCTCCATCTCCCCCAAGCTCTCACAACTTCTTCCAAACAGACTATTTTTGAAGGAAGCCTACAAAAAACATGATCGATCAAAAGGAACCTACAGCCTGGGTCCCCGCATCGGAAAAGCAATTAATACTCTAACATTACTTTTTCCAGAAGCCACCATTCTGGAAGGACTGTAACCCCATATGAAAGACAGGACACGTTGCAGACCGCTGTATCTTGGCATATACCTGCGCTGCTGCCAGAAAGAGCAGCTGTCCCCATCTCCTCCACACAAATATTCTCGTGACTGTCCAGCAAGCTGGGTCAATTCCCTGAGCTGACTCCTCATGTGGCCGCCTGAGTACCAGCGCTAAGGATGGAGCAGGAATAAGAAGCATGGTCAGGGGCAGCCTGGGACTCTCGCTGCATTAGAGAAGTCAGGTCAGTCCATGGAAGATAACCAAAGGTAAGCCTGGGCTCAAACCTGAAGCAAATTGCAGGAACAGAAGTGCTTTTTGGAGAGGCAACTAAATGTTGAACATCCCCAAATTGGTTTTTATTATTGATTTTTTTTTTAAAAAGCTAGCCAGCTCTTAGATACACACAGGCCTCTCCAATCACACAGTGAACTCTGTCTTCCTGCTCCACCCCATCTCTCCAGCATCATCCTTTTCCTCCTACTGTCATCCTTCCTTTTCTCTGTTCCTGTGATGCTACATTTTCCGTGTACCTTCCACTGGATGACCCTGTCTACCCATCCATTCTCCTAAGGACACAGCTTTTTAACTACTTTTCATTACAAAGAAAAAGTGATTAAGAGAGAAGCTACAGGACAAACAAGGAGACCCATCCCCCCAGGATCGCTAGCCCCAGGGAAGGGCCATGCAGGCAGATGGGGCTGAGCTCTGCCCATGCTTCAGACAGGCAGTCTCCCAAGCATGGTGCCACGGCTGAGCTCTCAAACGTTGCTGCCAAGCTTGGTAGCATCACTCCAGGGCTGCGCTGACAAACCCAGCTCTGTCAGACCACGCACCATGGACAGAGCCCAGGACCCTGCCTGCACCACATCCATAGTCTATTCTCTAACCCTTTTTTAGGCTTCATTTTTTCCAGGCAAAGACTACGTTTCCACTGTCCCTGATATGCTCCAGTTCAGCGCCCTACAAAAAAAAAGGAACATTGCCAATAAGTTATTTCATTGTAAACAAACTTTATTAGCTGCCTTTCAAATATTAATCCAAATAATTTAAGGCTTCCCCACACACACACCTGAGCACTGCCAAGTAAGAACTTTTGCTGGCAACTTTTCTTAATCCAGAGGAAGTAGTAAAGTGTTGCTGCAGCATTGTGCAACTGAGTGATGCAGATTAGAAACACTATAAACAATTAATTATTCTTTTTATTATTTTCCAATATGGGGTAAAAAAGAAAAGGAAGCATACTGAAAGGTTCACTGATCCAATTTAATTTTCTCAGTCTATCACCACTTAAACACTTGAACTCACTATGACAATAAGCTAAAAGTATGCATGTTTTTTGCAAGAGCAGAACCCTCACTCCCATACAAATCGTAAAACCACTCATTTATACACAACTTAGACATGTAGTAGTATTCCCACAGGACTACCGTTTTCTTGCCTAGGGATGCCTGCTTTCAGAAGGCCCTGTTTTCATGGCTAATGGGTACTATCTTCTGCTATTACAAGTGACGGAGCCTCTCTAGACTAGTAAGACCTATTACTAGTGACTCAGGCACTAGGAATACCTCCATATCCATTTCCAACTCCTGAGGCTGGGATGGCATGATATTTCAGTCTCAGTCCAGTTCATGTGACAGATGTCAGAAAACACAGCCTGTGCTGTCAGTCTGCTTCTTTGCTAAGGAAGCTGTCACATTCCCAGAGACCTCACAGCCTTTTGGAAATGCTTTTGAATCACTAAGGAAGATCCCTGCCCCTAATAAAAATCTTTCAAGTTTGATGAGAAGACCCATCATCCATCCTGCCCAAGCCCCAGGACACAATCTTCTGGTCATACTGTGGGGTGCAAGCTATAGCCATCCCCACTCTCCTAATTTATCTTGTGTCACAGCAGCAGTTTACAATGTCTCATGAGAAAACAAACAAGCAAAGGAGCTTCCTTTCCCAAGATAAGTTTGACAGAACTTGCTTGTCCAAGAACATCTGACGCAGGCAGACTGTTTTTAAAACCGTCCTCCTGCCTCTTCTGCCACACTGACCAAACTCAATGGCTTAGAAAGCTGAAGTTGCATCAAAAAAGAAAGAGAGTTTAAGTGAGTATGTATATTGGTTTGATGCTGTTATAAGGAGAAAGGAACCAAGATGTTCAGAGCATGAACTCAGTGCAATGTGATACTTGGTTATTTCACTCCCAGGAGCACAGGGTAAGGAACCATTTTACAGCATGCATCCCACTGTTGTTTCAGTTGAAACCAAGTGGTTTCAGTTGTGAGAGGTGTCTAAAACAAGCAACGAAGGAGAGGGTTCATAGACATGATCTGCCCTCCTCAGCATACCTGGAATCGTCGCTGACACCAGGGGGTGTTGGAGACATCAAGGAGGCAGGATCTGGCCTCTCAGCATACCTTGGTACTGAGCTTCAGCTACATATTCCACGCATGCACTGTAAATGACTTGCCCAATGCTATCATTTGGGTTTACAGCTGCCTATCTTCATTTCTGCATATGTCACTGCCGCTATGCCTCAGACCAGTCTTCTGGTGTTCTTCTGGTGTTCTTCTGTGCATCCCATTCATCACAGCAATCAAGTCCAGTTGCCCCGAGCCACACTAAATGGTGTTTGAGCAGCTAAGCCGCCCTACAAACATTGCAGGAACTGCCTCACAGCTCCCAGAATTTCTTCATACCTGACACAGGGCTTGTGAAATCTGAGTAGACAAATGCCTTCCAGCCTGTCTCACTGTTAGAGGAACTTCCCCATCCTCCTCTCCCATGACAGCGGAAAAGGCTTGCTCATGACATTCCTCATAGTGGTGGTCACTGCTCTTATGCATGAAAAATAAAGCAAAACCTCAAACCAGATAACACTATTCCTCTAATGCAATATGGATTATGGAATGTGATATGGATCACAGTTTAAAGTAGAGGTTACAGCAGATTTGCATTATTAGTAACATAAGAGACGTGACTTCCTGGTCTGCATAGGAAAACCAAAGCAACGATTGGTATCTACTGTTTGCAGATTTCATTACAGTTCTGATGTCCCACAATTAGAGGTGAAGACAACTGCACAGGCAAGTAGTCAACATCAACAGAGCTAGATGAGTTTGGTAGATCCCACTGCTTACCTGTTTAGCATGCAAAATAGTGGAATTCCCACTGAAAAAACTCACGTTTAATTCCAAGCCAACTTCTTGGAACTAGGCCAAAGTAAACCACACAGTGCCAGAGGAAGAAGAGGAGCCAAACTCTACTTTTACACTACTTAAGACTCCAAAGCAACCAGAAATGTCATCAGTGATGTTTCACCTGCTCAGGTGCCTTGACACACCATCTCCACACATTATTTGCTGATCAGATTTTATTTCCCCCCCACAATAGTAAATATAATTACTACAACCTTCAGCCCAGCCAGTATGAATATATGGCAAGAAGTGTCACTGGGCCAGTGCTTTTCGATTTCACACTTCTTGCCATATATTCACATTGACTGGGCTGAGGGGTATAGTAATCAGAATGCTTCCTAGCCACATCCTGAGCTCATGAGTGGAAGATACATGATAAGCACGTGAAGAACATAAGGAAAAGTTTAAAAACATTTCTTACTGCCTATGGTAATTTGAGACAGTATTTCCTACTGATGCCCGGAGGATTGCTCTGTGGGTTAGTTCAAGGAACTCTCTTCCTCTGAGAACACACTAAACATCAAGAAACAGTGTTGTCAGAACATTAGCAGCTGATAGCATCCTCTGAACTCCTCTCCTGTGTCTCATGGACCCACAGTTCACATTGTATCTGTCAAGCTGGAACAGACTGTAGTTATGGTAAACTGCGTTCTAAGACAAGGCAGAAGCACCAGTATCAGATGGCTGTTATTCAGCCAAATGACACACTGCCTAAACAGCTAATGCGCTGGCTAAATAAAGAGCATGTGGAGCGGCAGAAGCTGTTACCTGTTGGCAGAGAGGGAAAAGTATCCACAGAACGAAAAAGCTCCTCGCTGTTTTCAGAGCTGTGTGGAGGCAGAAAGCACTCTGCTAGGTCACAAACAGAGGGTAGGTCCCATATGCTGCTCTCCTCTGAATGATGACATGGCGACGTCTCTTTTCCTTCCATGGTCCCACTGCAGAGACACAAATGCAACTGAGCTGGGTTTTCAGAGCATGAAAATCTAAGCAGAAGTCAACACAAGTGATCTGTCATTATTGCACTGCTTTATGAGCTGACAGAAGCTGTTCTAGCATATTCATTCTTCATTTAAGAAAATATGAGCAAATTTAAAGATGTAAAGGAAGAACAACAGCAAAACCCATAGACAACAGCCCTCAGCCATAAGTAGGATAATGAGGAGTCCACAACAAATCTGGCTTTCCTAGAGGCTTCCCAGAAGTACATATTCAGGCCCCAAAACTAGAAAGCTTTGGAGTATATTCCCTTCATGGTATATTATGCGTGCAATTTAAAAGGAAACATGTTCTACAGGGTCCCTTTCCACTGATGCTTCTAGAAGTCATAAGTTAAACCCATCCCTCCTGGTCTGTTCATAAGTTCATCATGCTCACTAGCAGAAGGAAAGAGCATCTTAAAACTTGGTAGTCTCAGTCTCACAGGGATGGCAAGGATTTCCTGGTGTGGAGACACTAGGGCAGCTGTGTTATATACCCTGTGCACAGCACTCTGGAAAGCTGTGATTGAAGCATCCCCACATCCCAACACCCTTCTCTTGAGCTCCCTCAACCAGTCCACCACTGCAGAGGGCAGGATCACACAGATGGGTGAAGAGCAGGACAGGGCTGGTGCCATGCAGCTCCACAAGGGCCACAGTAGATGGGCAACTCTTTTGGAGAGGATGAAACTAAAGTGTTCCAGTCCAGCAGCTCCAAGCACAGCCACACAAGTGTCTGGGGCAAGAGAGGAGTGAAAGGCAAAAACTTGGTGGGACAGGAGCTCACAGAATGACAAATGGAGAGAGCAAGTAAGAATCCTTGGGCCGAAGCATGATTAGCACTGACTCAGTAAGAGTGGCTCTCAAGGAAAGACATCTGCAAGAAAAGATGCAGAAGAGTCCCAAACGCCCTGTTTCCACCCAATACCTCAGTCACTAGCTTTTGGCCACCTTGCACAACCCCTTGTGAGGCAGCCAAGACTCCCCACGAACAGTAAAGACTCTGAGCAGAGCACTGTTGTACTCCAGCCCACACCTCTAGCAACACCAAAGAGAGGAGGAATTGATGCAGTCTTTACTGCACAGGCCTTATGCCAGGACTTTCAGGCAGGAACTTCACTTAAACACCCACTGAGCGTTGATGATGAGATTGAGTGGGGTAAATGTGCGCTGACATCGTGGTTTTTCCCCCTCACTCAGATAACAGATGATGCTTTTCATGGAAAAAATGTGGACAGAACAAGTGCGTTTCTCATGAAATGCGTTTTTAGTTCCCAGCTCTTACAGAGACTCCAGGAGATCTTGTGCAAGTTTCTTCCTTCATCTGTTTGTTTGCTTATATGCAATAAAAAAAGCCAGATTATGGCTATCTGCACTGCCCCCTCCATGCAGCTGTATCCTTCTGCTATTTTGGTAAAGACTGATAGGATAGTGGAACCAAGATCCAGTGGTCAGGCAATGGCTTCGGACCCTTCAGGCTCACATTTATTTCCTCTTCTATAAAACGAAGAAGGTAACACACTCTTATCTCAGGGGCATTGTCAGTGAGGACTGTTACAGCCACAGGGGCCAAAAAAATCCCTAGAAGGAATTAGTACTGAAAAATGAAGTAAATACCCCCATGCAGATTTTTTTTTTTTTTTTTTAAAAACACCATTCCTTAGGTGCTTCTGCGTTGAGCAAACTTGTAGCTAAGATGCACCTCTGACCTTCGCAGAATGCTGACTCACTAATGAACAGAGTGGAGATGTTGGCTGCGATACTGGAAGAGACCAGCTGCCTTGCCTTGGAGGGACAAGCAAGGTCAGTGCATTCACAGAAAGTTTCCAGGAAAAACAGAGTGGAAGGTTAAAAACAAAACAAAGCACACAACCCTCTGCTCTGCAACAGTCACTTCAGAGGGAAGCTTCTCCTCCATTGCTCTTCATGTGCCAAAACACAGATGATCTGTGCATAAGGAACACAGAGAAGGAGACTTTCCTCGAATATTGTTTTCATGATTTGTGCTACTTTTTAAGTACACGGATATTTTAGAGAACAAAACTGCCTATTTCAGTCCTTGGTCTGACAAAAAAAACCCACCACACCAAAAACCCAACCAATCCTATCCCTCCAAGGGCAAGTGCGAGATTATAGCAAGAGGAGTTGCTGGTGTGGTACCACAGCAGCTTAAGGCTGTCATTGATATGGACTGCTCTGATCCCAGCCGTCTCTGCCAGCTGCCTGTGCCAGCCTCCTTCCTCATATTTCCATGACAGAGCTAACAACATGTACAGTCATGTGATGATCAGGTTCAGATAAAACAAATCACTTTCTAAAAAAAAAAAAAAAAAGTTTTCCCTTGGATCAGCTCCCTCTAGGCCTCCAATAATTTCAGAGTGCAGTTTGACCATGTAAGGCAGCATAAGTCAAGGCTACAGCAGTTCTACTCCCAAAACTGATAGAGAGACTTGTTTGTGAGGTTAAGCAAGACCTCAGCTCAACCCTGTACCGTCAGGCGCGTGGAAGAGATGCACTATTACCTCTGTGCCATACCTGGGAACAGCACTGATGCGAAAGCAGTCCCCTTAGACAGAGTCCGGGAGCAAACAGTCTGTCACTGCTTCAGGATCTCCTTCAGGATCTTCCTTCACGGTTTGTCAATCCCAGCTCGCTGGAATGAAACAAACAGGTTGGTTACGTGCTTTGCATCACCTGATCGGGCTGACGGACAGTGTGACCTTTCAAAGCACATACACCAGCTGATGTCAACAGTCAGTCATCACATATACCACTGTTTGTCAGGTCTGGCACAGAGAAAAGTTTTTTCTAGGAATCAGAAACAGCACATCTAGTAATGCCCTTGAATCTTTTGACAGCAATGGAGACCTCCTGGAAAGGCATCGGTACACTCTAGATAAAAAGCCAAGATTTTCTTTACAAGAACCTGACAGATGGGCTGTTTATTCAAAACCTGTAAAGTAGAGAAGTGAATTATAGGTGGCATCCTTCTCTCCCTCTCGCGGAGGAGCAGGTATTTCCCCAACAGGTTTATCTAGCAGTGCTTTGACGCCAACACTGATAGCCTGTGCTGCATCAAACCTTGACCAAGAAATGTGTTTTAAGAAGGCCACATAACCCTGTGTGTGGAGCAAGCCACAGGCCCAGGAAACCCAATCCTGTTTCCCACCCTCTGCCATTACCTCATTATTTTCAGTGAGCAACAAGGACAAACATACTTTCAGGAGGAAACTGGATTTTCCTCTGGGCCACCCTTGACTGGTGGCACTGCACTGCTACCGGGAACTTCCCAGACATAGGATGCATGCCGCCAGTCCTGTGCAAACACGCTGGGTTGACGGCGTGCCACAGGACATGTGATGGGCAACTTGGTGGGTGCGAGGTGCTGGCCTTACCGGCTGCCCCGCTCAGCTGGTTTTGGGAGAGGGAGTCCCAAGAGAGGGGGTCCTCTTCCTCCCAGTCTCGTTTCTTTTCCCCTTTCCTGCAGGCAGAGACGCGCATTATTTCAACAACCTTGGCAGCAAAGGGAAATGAGAGCAACACAGGGCAACTCTCCACAGGCCTGGTGCAAGCCAGGCCTCCCCAAAGCCAGAACCTCCCGCGGCCTTGCCATGGCTGCTGCCTCCGCCCCCCCGCCATTTTCTGAGGAGAAAAGCAGGCTGCAGCACCCCACGGACAGCAAAACATCGCGGAAGGGAGTAAGGGGAAAGCCAAAAGCATGCCAGGGCTGCCCCGGGCCGGGCCGGCGTACCCCCACAGCCACCCTCAGGCCCTCCTCCCCGCTGCGGGGCGGGGGACGATGGGCCGGGGCAGGCCCCCTCCCCGCTCCGAGGCCGTCGGCGGCCATGTCGGCGAAGAGCCAGGTGAAGCGGGCAGAGCCATCTTGGCTGCGGGCAGGCGCGACCGGAGGGG